CTTTCTGTCTCTCTCTCTCTCTCTCTCTCTCTCTCTCTCTCTCGTACCACATCACCAGGTGACGCCCCAGCTCCCCTCTCGCAGGCTCATACCCAATGGGCGAGCCGAGGACGAATAAAGAGAGTCCCAACCCCCGGCCCTCCGCATACCCCGCGACAGACTCCGTTCTCCCGATAAGTTTGCCGGCGTGAGCGCACGCGAGCAGCCTCGAGACGCGACGAGCCGGTGCTTTACAGTTAGCCACATGCTGTTGCTCACCGATAAAACCGCCATGCTCCTGCATTTGCGAGTGTGCGACGCTTTCCTCTCAAGTCCCAGCTTCGCCTTTCTCGAGAAGAAAGAGGAGCGCACGCGGCGGGGCTAATCCGAAAGTGCCGAGGATGTGCATTGAAGCCGAGAAAAGCTTTTGGAAATACCTGGCCAAGAGAGAATGAAACATGGTGTTGGATGGGGTAGGGGTAGGGTTGGTGGGGGAGTGGAGGAGTTGGGGGGGGAGTTGAAGGGTGGAGGGGGTAAGAGCATTCCTGGTTAGCAAGCTGGCTTCCTGATCGAGCACAACGAGGAAATTTTTTCTTTTATGATTCTACACGCTTCCCGCACCGATCGAATCGAGTGCACTCTTTTTACCCGCCAACTCATGCTTTACTTTTTTATAATATATCTTTTTTGCGAATACAATGCTGAGCATCGACTGTTTAAAGCCATAGCGAATCATTAATCGAAGGCATAATTCACACAATGCAGAGTCGGACGTGTTTTACAATGGTAGACACCGTACATTCGATTGTCTAATTGTAGCGCCATCGTAATAACATCGCAGTGAGTAAGCAGAAGGATCATAAAGTCGTAAAGGTGGAAGTTATAATCCCGGTGACTTTCGCAAACGTCGCCCAATTAATAACAGAAAAGACCAAAGAAATTAGCTGAGAAATTCGAGGGAGTAATGAAGCGAAACGAACCGAGGCTTTCCCAGCGTGAGCAATCATAGCGGATCGAAAATAAAATTGGAGCTGTTGTAACGGCAGGAGGAGAATGAGGTGGTGGAGTAGGAGGAGGAGGGACGGAGAGACGTAAACGGAGGACTTATTTATCGGCGGCGTTGCTCGGCTGCACTCACCACTGGCCGGTAATAAAGTACGCGCCGAGTGGCATCGAGGAGCCCGTAAGCACGTGGGAAAGCGGCCCCGCAGGAAATTGAAAATACATTGAGGACCGTAGGGGGACGATGCGCCTGGCAGGGAAAGATATTTGTTTCGCGTCAAGTTGGATATGCGCACCGCGAGTTAACGGCAGCTGCGCACCGATCTCCACCCAGTTAGCATTCTCGGGGTATGTCCAAGCTGGTGCGAGTTATTCATATCAAAAGCAGCCCATCCCTTCCCGAGCGTACGCGCAATTTGTCTGTCCAACGTTCGGCAGAGTGCGTAGCGCGAATTTTTATCAGACGACATGCGCGGTCCGCGCGCGTGACGCTACTTCGTAATGCGGCGTAATTTCGTGTGTTCGTCGCTCAACATCCATGGGATATAACGGTGGTAATGCAGAGTTGTGCCCCCCCCCCAAACCTCACCCTATGCCCCACCTGGCACGCGGTCGCTCGCTCGCCCGTCAAAGTAGTTCGGAAAATTTATAGATGAACGAGCGCGCGAAGCTCCTCCCGTCCCGACTCATCCCATTAAGCCGCTCCGCTCTCAGCATATCTATATATCATTGGGGTGACACGCTTCTTTTTTTCCCTAAAATGAAGGAACGCCGGAAATGCGCGACATTTACTTTACCAGCGGTGAAAATTTATGTAACCACCAGGAACAAAGTAACGAATGATCATTTGCATAAAATGCGTGATTATAATACTCGAGCGGCATACCTTTTTTCATTGCTTTTTGTTTTATTCCCTTCGTTTCATTCTAATACATTTTATTTGCATATCAAGCTGCTAAATTATTCTACGAAAGAAATTTACTGAATTTCTTTGACAGTCACGAGGGTTATACATACATATACGCCATATATGCCTATAATCGAAAAGGCAATTTTCATGGCCCCGTATTCTATCGCGCAATTAATTTGATTTATTATTATAGCTACAGTGTTATGGGTATTAAGAATGTAAATTTTTTAATAGTTGGGTAAAGCTGTGTAAAATGGTGATGATAAAAAGGCTCGTCCGTTTTCTATTTGGCCAAATTTACTTCACCGAATTACAATAGAAGGGGCGCAAAAACTCGACGCGTTTATTTAATCGTTGGAACGAACGTAGTGATACGGGTTTAGCGCAGTAATTAATCGAGATCGTTTACTTTCTTTCTACTTTAATACGGATACCTGCCAGCTGCCGGCGCATCCAGCACGTCTAATGGCTCAGAAACCTATGCGCATGGACGGACGAGCAGCCGAATATATTCAGGGACAATGAAATAGAAATTGTAATCTCGTAGGCTCGGAGAATGCAGAACGACTGGACGGAAGAGC